TTTACTATTTTTATAGTCTTCACTCTTCAATGTAAGTATAATTTCGTTCATAGTTGATTTTTTGGAAATAAAGATAAACTAGTATTATTCCTTGTTAGTTTTTTGATATAGTATAATGTAAAACGCAGCCCAATTAGTTATAGTTATGTGTCCTATGACTGTATAGGCAATAGAGCTTATGGTAGTATTGAACAACGGTTCCCAAACTTTTTTTTACGCGATGCCTTTTTTTGGACCCGATTTAGCCATGGCGCCCTGCTGTGAATAACACGAAAGACAGAACAAAAAAAATACTCATTGATAACCATAAACCGTAGAACGCGGTGCCGAAAGTGCTCAGTTTGGGAACAACAGTTATAGAGCATAGATTCTTAACCGGGGGTCCGTAGATGGTTACTCGGGGGTCCACGGGTAGGCTGAGTTTGTTTGAAATAAGCCAAAAATAAATTTGTTTGAAATTAATTCATAATATTATTTGATGAACCTTTGAAGTAGAAACTGTACATTTATAATACATAATAGTTAAGATAAGTAAATATGTCAATTCAAAGACGAGCAGTGACACGCGTCCACAGCGTCCGAAAAAATAAACGCATTTATAAATAAAATTTCCCTTTGGAAAAGAAGACTTCAATCGGAAAATTTAGCAGACTTTCCAACACGAGCTTTCAAAAAATAATATTGTTTTATCCAGTTCCATAAAAACGCAAATTTGTGCAAATCTCGATGTGCCTGAAAACGTATTTGACAATTATTTGGATTTTACATACTCGAAAGCAGAAATATGGTTACGTAGAGTTCTTTTCTAGTAGACTTAATGCAATATTAATGATTCAGACTTTGTTATGTATGCATTAATTGATTTGAGATCAAAAGAAATGGCACATCCCTGATTTCAAACAAAAAAAATGTAATCGAATTTTGGTGTTCGTTGATGAATGCTTATCCGCGAGCTCTGATTATATTCGCTATTACATAGTTCTATGAGTCTGGATTTTCTACTATAGTCAAAATTAAAACTAAGGCAAGAAATCGAATATACATTGGCCATTAAGGACGATATGCGAATTGCTCTGTCCAATACGGCCCCAAATTTCAAGGCAATACTGCAATCAAAAAACAGCAAATGTCACATTGAAACTTGTTTTCAACTATTATAAAAAGTGATTAATCACAATAATTTAATATTGTATCAAGTTTTAGTATTATCATTAAATTAATATTTTTTTTGATGGTGGGGAGGGGGTCCGTGATTAATGATTATATTTTATACTTCAAAGGGGTCCATGGCCCAGAAAAGGTTAAGAGTCTATGGTAGCACAGAGTAATGAGAATATGTTATACCTTATCCTTTCCATCTTATCTAATATATAATAATATGTTTTTTTTTTTTATTATTATTATGGTATCGAGGACTGGAGGAGGAACTATGGTGCCAGTAATTTTCTCCTCCAGCCCCTTTATAATAATATGTTATACTATAGGCATTATAGAAAACAATTAGGTACTTCGATATTATGTACATTTTTTTATCATAATTATTATTATATTGGTTTTATAAGATTGTATTGATTTTTATTCAACTAATGTATTAAGAAATCTTAACTTTCTACATATTCAAGAATGCATATTTTGTTATCTTATTATATTATTATATAGGTATGTATTATTAGACTATATACAATTTTATTCCATTAATGTATTATGTCATAACAGTTTATTGCCAATTGTTTTATTTTATTATTTTTTCACGCAGTTGAAGGTAACAATGTTAAAAAAACCACTGGCCAAAAAGTAACACTGGCCGATAAGGGAAGGGTAAATTTTGACCAAAAAAGGGAGCCGCCCATTTGCACTGATGAAATTATAATATATTTTGAATAATATTTATATAAATCGATTACTTGATACAATTTTTTCTTACGTCATATTTTATTTATTAAATACCTACCTATATGTTAATCAATTTAATCCAACTTTTTCATCTAATGTTTTTGAGTTCCTTAACACAATTGACTGCACTTATAATTATAATAATAAAACAAATTGAGTTGTATTCAATTAAAATAAAAAAAATAATGTTTAATACCATACATTTAAATAGCAACTCATAAGTATATAATTAAATTTATTGTATCTATATAATTATAAATAGGTAATATGGTAGGTATCAGTTGATAATAGCAAAACAAAAAAACAAGGTGTTTTTTATTTTTATTATATAATTTAAAACTGTTATTATTTTAAACATGTGTTTTTTAAGACACTATGCCACTTTGGCTATATAATTAATTCAGGATAATTTAATTTTAAGATAAATGTATTTATATATTTTATCGTCATAACTTTTGTTGTGGCTCAATTAGAATATTAAAATTTATTCAATTTCAAGATTGTTGGACAAGGAAAAAATAAATCCTTTACTGTTAGAATTTTAAAGTTAAATTTTTTTATAATTTTGTATCAGCAGCTTACGATGTATTTTTAAATGAGAAGGGGGGCTTAAAATTTAATGATTTCTCATAGTTGTTTCGAGTTACAAGGTTCGATTTTGAACATTAAAGTAGATGTACATTATGCCTTCTTAATTTTATAGTTATGATACATAAAATATATTTAAAAAAAACTTTTTTCGTTAAAATAATGGGCAATAAAATACAATTACATTTTTATTTTGACTAATCTAATAATTTCAGATATTTATGTGAGAGAATTCAGACAATATATCTATATTATAGCTTTTGTCAATATTCTGTTTTATTTATGTTGGCTGTACCTAATCCATTCAACATATATGGATCTATTAAATTATTGCCTACTAGTTTTCTACAGCTAAAATTTGAGAAATATAAATCAATAAAAAAAAATTTATACCGACTAAATATTTTTGCAAACATATATTATATATTGTAAAATAATAGGTATAATGCATGTAGTATATAATATATACTAATATACATAGTACCTACTATACACACCTAATATATAAAATACCTATATTATTATATTAAACATTTATAATATAGTACCAAGTGGTAGGTTTCGAAAAAGTAAAAGAGACGCTTTTATAATTTGGACAACGGGACTCGTAAAGTGTGAACATACCCATAATATTATGTACCTACCTAATATTGTAAATGATATTACATGTTATCGTGGTACGTTTGTATATTACGTAATACCTGTATACGTTAATGTATGCATACGAGTAAAATGACTGCGGAGTGCGGATATTATACTTACCTACGATGCAATAATAATATTATACTTACATACCTACACACGACACATTTATATTTAATATACTTATAAATTATAATAGAGTGGTATTGTTGACTGTCGTATAGATATTTGAGAACCATTCTGCTCTGAAATCATTACATTGTACATATACTATACAAAAATCGTAGCCAACAGGTTCGTATTAATGATGTGGTGAGTTCCTTAAATCTTTTTAATGATGTGGTGTTATGTATTGTTTTAGGACCATTGCTATTTATTGTATATTTAAATGACTTACTTAATTTGGATACTGAATACTCTATTTTCTGTTTTGCGGATGACGCAACGATTCTAATTCATGATTTAAATAACATTAATTTAATGCACTAAGTATAAAAAATTATGACATCTCTAAAAAAATAATTTAATGCAAATTCTTTAGCAATTAGTTTTAGTAAAACATGTTATCTATCTTTTTCCATATCGAAAATTAGAAGTCTTGATATTAATAAACCCATTAAAATACACAGTTATAATATATTATATTTTACGGGTACTTGTAGTTGTGACTGCACATATATAAGAGGTGCAGAATCTGTGAAGTGTCTTGGTGCCATTATTGACAGATTTTTAAATTGAATTTACATAGATTTAACTATTAGAAGATTCAGGAGTATGTTTGGTAGGTCTATACCATTAAAAAATATTTTATCACCTAGCATTTATAAAAATGGTTTTCCTCGCCATTGCAGTCAGCTTATTCTTACGAAATTAGTATGTGCGGTGGTACCTTCGATAAGTTTGCTAAGAACTGCTAACATGCTAAAAACAATGTATTTAAAATAAATAAATATAATACCGAATTTGGTAAAAAAGATCCATTTAATATAGCTATACATTTATGCATGCAATATGATATCCCTATTAAACATTTTAATAGCTATGATTAATAGAAAAAGTAAGTTAAGTATACGATAAAAAATTGTTTGTAAATACCTATTTATTATCAATTGCAATAATATATTTATTGATATTTATTATTGTTATTATTTATTACTATTAAGTTATTTGATAATGAGGATAAATTAATGTAATTATTTTTTCATTTGTATTATATTACCTCTGAAATAATAACTGTTGTCCCCTTCACACGACGTGACTTTTAGAGACAATGATTTATTATTTTTATAATTTATTCATATTTAAAATTTTAAAATTATTTGTTTCTTTAATATTTCTTTAAATGAAAAATAAACATATTATTATTACTATACTGCATGTAGAACCTACTATACAGTATACGGGGTGTCTCGTAATGACCATGTCAATAACTTTTTTTATTAATAATATATTTGAGCGCTACAATGTATTGAAATGGCTTATAATATTTGTGTATAATAATTATGGGTTACTTAAAAATTTAAATAATTAGAAATATTCGATTTTGGTGTTCGTAAAAAAAAACAGATAGTCAATTTTTAGTATTTAAAGCGTACTTATTCTAAAATATTTTAAAATTTGATTAAAATATGATTTACGTTCATTATTCAAACAAATACATATTATTAAATGCATACAGGCTGTAGTCACTAGGTATATGGGAAAAACACATGGTTGAGACACCCTGTACATTGTACAGTGTACGTACATGTTGCTATCGTATAATAAACTGCCGGAGCGACATTAAGTAGTAGTACCTATAGTTGTAGTAGTAGATGAAGAAGAAGAAGAAGTAACCGCAACCGCGTACAAGATTCTCAATAAATGGCGGGCGCGTCTCGTGACCAACGGTCAGTTGCACTGATTGCCGGCACCACAGCCGGTCGTAGTGCGAAATCGTTTTGCCGCCGCCGTCGCATTTCGATTCAAACGCTGTTGTCATCATCGCCATTATAATATTGCGATTTAAAGGCCGCACCGTCCCGTGCAGACAGCAGAGAAACCACCTGAGACGATGAAATCTTCCGGGCCGGACCGGCCTGCAGATGAGCAGCGACCTTCTCGTAATCATTACTGCCTTCCTCTGAGGATGCAGGCCACCACCATCTTATTAATTCTGCTCCTGCACTTTGTCTCTTCGACCTTGTCCCTGAGGAATGAAGTGTACCGCGAAACATACACCGACGACGCTGTCATACTCGAAGGTAAGGACTAAGGGTGACTTGGGACTCCTCGTTATTACCTACAAATAAATAAATATATTGGTGGATAGGAAAGTTTGTTGTTGTCATCTTAAAAGACAATATTTTGAATTATTAATCTTTTCTGATGGATCTCTCCTGAAACAACTAAATTTTATATTTAACATAATATTTTTATTTATAGATATTTTTTTCGTTCAACACTTCATTTTTGCAAACGTAATTTGCATTCTTCCACGGTATATCGTATTCAAATGTGTTTTAAATATAGTTAACTATATTCAAAAACGGGTTTCGTGTTTTTTTTATTAGTTCGTTTTTTCATCTCATTATATATCGTCGCGATTCTGAATATAACATGTGATATTTCGACTGGAGGCCAGTCTAATTTTTAATTTAATCAGTTAAAATAATCGATGCAATAATATATTAAAACTGCTTAAATAAAGACTTCCAAAAATAATGTCCAAACTTTAATTTAGTATTTTTTTCAAGCGTAAATTTAAGGAATGTAATATATAAACAGATGTCAAAAATACATTGTGTTAATGTATAAATTGCATTATATAAGTTTACTTTAAGTTGTGTACGTCCTTACGAATTTTATTAAAATAAAAAATAAATTCATGACTCACGATGATTAGGTAAGTAGTTGAGAAGCTTCTTACATTAAACGTATTTATATCCTATAATATATTTTTAAAGTATAAAATGTTAAGTTTCAAAAAATTAAGTTTATTATAAAATTGTTTTATTTTAAATTTTTTATATAAAGACTTGTTGTGCCTATTCAATTGTCTTTAAATAACTTTCTTAACTGTCATAAAATGTTTATTTAGTATGAATAAATATATTTTTATGAAGTCGATTATTTTGTTTTTCATACTATGGTTAATTTATATTTACACGTGTTGACATAATGAAATGTGTAGCTGATAATGTTTGTACAGTAATTATCTATTATTCGGTTTCTATGGTTAATAAATGATATAATTTACAGTTTAGGATTTAAACTGTATAAACTTTAAAGGGTTGTACATATTATTATGTTTGATTCTATTCATTAAGCTGAACAACTCCATTTCAAAAATGTACATGTTTACATATTATTGCATTAAAATGAAATAGATAGGTATATTTCTATCATTATTAACATTATAAACTTAAAATAAAATCAACGTTACTTCGTAATAAGTGTTATATTTTATACTTGTATAGTAATTCATAATCCTCTTGTGCATACTTGAGACGAAATATTATTTGTTTTTTTTTTTAAATAAAAGGCTTATTATATTTATATTCTATAATATAAATAATTATGCGGTTGTACAATTATTACTCTTTTGTGATAAAAAAAAAAATGTAGACAATAATTATAAGTAATTTTATTTTCAAACCACATGCTGGCACAATTTATGACATTTGAAAACGACTTAGACGTGTGCGTTATAATTTACATGCATCTACTATGCAATAAAAATTAAACCACACAACTATAGTTTGAAATATTTTATTTCTTATTGACCATCAATGATAATATTTTATCACTGTGTTAAAAATTAAATTACTTAACTGACAATATAAAATAGGGAAAATAAATCATTTTAGTAGTATTATATTAATTATTAGGGTATAATTCTGATGACATTGTTTGTTAAGAAGAAAGTCTATTATAACTATTTTTGACTAATCGTCTTCTAACGAGTTCAGTAATTTACTTTTCTCAATCACGGTAGATCGATTATACTGATATTTATATTATCCAATAGTTTTGACTTTTCATAAAAACATTGAAATTATAACTTATTAACTTTTTTCAAGTCGTAATCAAATATTGTATTACACTGATCACGATTGCCTATGAATATTATGACAAAATAATAAATATGAAGCACTAACAATACGATATTACGATTCAACTTTTATCCTGCAGACATATTTTTAATTGGATTTTAAACTTTATGTATAGTACCATTTATACTTAATGTGTATCATTATTATTATAAATTGTATAAACATAACCATCACGAAATAGATAGGTAAAAAAATGATTTTATTATTTAGTACTCAGGCTTCAGAGGGATGGATTTTTGAGGTAATTGAAATTCAAATCGTTTAATTCAATATAATTTCTCCTCCTATTATAATTCCATGTAAATGTAATTGCGTTCTATTTAATCCAACAAAAACATAATTTATTCAGTATCACGCGTGTTATTATAAATCCTGAATACGGGTGCGTCTCGTGAAAAATGTTGGACCTCGCACGTCTGTTCTATATGCGTATAATACTATAATGTATTATGATTATACATAGCGATGTATAATACCTAGTCGTCCGAATACAATGTAGGTATACCAAATAAAATTTTAATATTTATTTTGCAATCAGCACGTCTGTCAACTTCTACTCGATGTAAAATATACATTATATGTACGTACCTATTCGATTCCGGTGGGCGGTCACTTACTCGAGAAGGAATAAATCGCTATCATCCTATTATATACGATCCCACTAAACTCGTATACGCATTTGCAGTATTTATTTGTATTATCCTAGTCAACACATTTTTCGAACTTGAAACGAGTGGGTAGTAGGTATTATCACCACACTCGCATATTATATAGGTACCTATTCATTTCATCAGCTCATCGCAACAGTAAAGATGTTGGGACACACACGAAGAATAATGTTGTTATTGTTGAGCCGAGGGCTAAGGTATTGGCGGTTAAGATTGAAAAAAATCGAACGAAAATTACTGTATACTTACAAATGACTTACTCGGCCGATGTGAACACGTTGTCCTGCGTCAAGGTCGCCGGCCAATGCGACACAGGTTCAATGACAGCGACGGCGGAGGCGGCAGCGCAAAAAAGTATCCGTTTGTTTACATGCGATTTCAATATATATTTATTTATTCGATGAATTCGTTGTCTGCTGCAATAATTCACTTCTTAAGTATTGATTATAATTTTAAATTTATATTCGACGTATCATCGAGAGACACATGATCAAATTAACGGTTTTTTGTTATCTTGCACATAATTGGTATAATATTTGTACTCAATAGTGATAGTGATTTAGACAATTCGTGGTTCATGCGTGTGGTGTTTTTCCGTAAAAATCAACGAACCATAATAATAGTCATAATTTGAATCATCCCACACGAGTGTCGTCCCTAATACTCTGCAGCTTATACGCATATACGCCATGATATAACAAACAGTATATTAATACGCGTTACTATATGGATACTAAAACCTACATTTTTTTTTTTTAGTGCAAAAATATATATAATATGTTACCAAAAATTAAATGTGAAAAAAACTAATTCGGACGGTCGTTCACACTGTGTGAACTCTGGAGCACTATGCAAATACCGTTTTGGGTTTGGCTAAGAGTCGAAAAAATCGTTCCAATAGAATTATACTATAAAATCGTTAGAAATAAAAAATCTGTATTATAAGGAGGCGGGAATGAATAAAAATGTTGGTAGGTATCTAGTAAATTTTGATTCAGTATCTTATTTGAAATTATTGTAACCGTTATAAAACGTGCAACAATTTATTAAAAGAAATACTGTGCACTGTGCATATACAAACGTTACAATTGTAGCGAAATTGTTAGTTGTATTTTTTCCTTCAAAATAGGTACTAATTATAAGTTATTATATATTATATTTTTATGGTCGTAATGGAGATTTATAGTTTTTTAGAAAATAATGGATTGAGACTTAGAAATTTGGAAAAAAAATGTTTTTCTGGATTGTACCTACCTATTTATTGTTTTGGAAATGTATTTGATTACAAATATATTATGGTAGTAAAGAATCGGTAATACATTTCGGTTGAAAATTATTTTATTTGAAAAAGTACACGTTTGGAAATTAACCGTTGGCAAATATTATTTTAGAATTGAAATTTGTCAGAATAGTATTAGCTCAGAGACCATTTTGTTGAAAATATTTATTTCTGGAATAATATATTTCAAATTGATTATATTCCAAGATAATATGATTCAATTAAAATATAATTCTAACAATATTAAGTGTTATTTTTCAACAAATATATTTGGTGCCGAACGAATAATTTTCCGAATTTTTATGCTCTCCTGTAATTGTAACTTGCAATATTTTAATAAAATTATATTCGATATTAAATCATACATTTTGATTATAACTTAAGACCAACATTTTGATTCTAATGTAATTTTTCTTGATCGACAATAACTTTAATGTATAAACTTTATTCATGTAGGCGCTGTTTAAGAAATATTTCACTACTTCTAGATTAATGAGTAATACAAACCGTATATCTAACCAGTTTATTAGGTAAAATTACAGTCATCTATCAGACATCTCCGGTCAGATAGAAAAAATCCATTACAGGACATTCCTCCGTGTACTCTATACGAATTAAACTTCGTACGCACTCACAAAAACACATACATAATAAGAATATTAATATTCTACTCGCGATCTTATAGTAATCTATTGGTGACACACCAAATAAATACATTCTCCGTTGTATACGATTTTATGATTTAAAAAAAAAATCCCTTTTCGGTATCGGGTATATTATATGGATTAATTAGATTACTATACCATCTCGAATTAAACAATACTAGTTCTGCAGTATAACTTAAAATAGCTTTTATATCGTCAAACTTCAATATTTCTAGCTAAAACGTTATAATTTTAGAATAATTAAGTGACACAATGGATAAAATATGGATGTACGTATTAGCTTTCATATATAACACTTATTAACACAATGTGTCAATGTTTAATAGTTGATCTATCGAGTATTCTATTTTTAAGTTGACTAAAATAGCCTATGTATAAGTATGATAGATAGGTATTATGTATAGTATACATTATACCTTAGTGGCTTAGTATATTTTAGTGGGTATCCAATTTAGTCAGATAAACCAGAAGCAAAATGTAACTTGCAAACAGGTGGCAAGGTCAGGACGAGTTACATAAATAAAACATATAAACACA